GCACAACTTCCAATTTTGCATCAACTCACCGATAAGAATATTGGAAGAAATAAGAGGTAGGATGGTGAGTTGAAGAAGTCTAAGATAAACATCCGATGGCATGGCTATGAGGAAAAGAAAATAAAAATTATCATCTCACTTTTAAATATCGAGCATTTTTTACATCTTAACTGAAAAATACTTATTGGGTAAAACGCATGTAAAGTTAAGCCTCACAACCTTTTGTTTTCTTTGCCTTAAACTAGTCGAGGCACTAAATCACCCTCTGAATGAAAATAACAAATTCATTTACTAATATGAAACAAAGGTGTCTTGTCTACTAAATGACAATTTGATTAAGGTGTTAACAGGTGTTAACTCTAATAGAATTTAAAATGCTTTTAATTGGCCTAATGTTAAGAACCTTACCTATCCATGTGATAGCTGTTGGTCCGGGTTGTGCAGATCGGATACCGAATCCCAAACCAAAGCCCAAACAGACCCCAGTAAGCGTAGCAAGCATAAACCAATTATTAATCAGAAATTTGACACAAGAATTTCGATCTCTAAGTTTAACTTTTTCACTCTTCTCAGATTTTTCGTCTTGAGTTTCCATTTTGGCAGCAGACTCCGCTGTGAGGGGTGACGGTGATGATGAAATACTGCTTAACTCAGTGTGCATCAAGGAGCACGTCTTTGTCGCCTTGTCACAGCCTATGGGACTCTTATAGTAAATTGGGTGTGATTTGATAGGATCTCATTTAATTCTAACTTCAATTGGTCGCTTGACAGATTAAAAAGGCAAACCTTTCAGTTGCACTGCATGGCAAGCAAATTTTGAATGCTTCTGGGTGCACATCATATCGCATGATGAACAACAACACATAACAGAAGAAGAGGTGGAGGTGTAGGCACACACACACACACACACGTTGACCTTAACCCAAAATACTTCTTAATTAAATGGTCTTACATTTAAGCAAATTCATTATGCAAACTTGGACTAAATTACTTCGCACAATAAAACAATTTCTAGCGAGTATTTAGAGGTATTTAAAAGAAATTTCGTCCTAATTGTCAGGCCCCTAGAATCCACCCAAAAGGTGATTGCAAGGGCGACATCATATTGTTTATGGCTGAACCAGATTGGAGAAACAAAATATTTTCTCTCTTCATGCATATTGTCACGCCACCGACAAAGATTGTGCTGATAGGTGATATGATAAGGCTGCATAAGTTAAACTAAATTGGAGAAAGTGACAATGGAGATACGCGCACAATTTGGTTGCA